GTTTGAAAATATTGCCTGTAGCAAAAAATGTCCATATGTTCATTGTTTTTCTATTCCTGTTAAATTTATTTCTGTCCTAAAATGGTACTTAACTGGAAAATAGTGTCTCTTCTTGGTTTAATGTACTTTGCAGCTATCTTAATATAACTTTAAATGTGTATAGACTGCAAGTAAGGTCCTCTTCCAAAAAAGTCTTTGTTGGTAAAATGATTTACAGAATTCATTTTTCTGAATAATGTGTACATTACCTTCATCCTGTTAAGTCAGCAACATACATACATCTAACAAAGTTGGATGTCTGGTTTTTATTGAGCAGACAGCTTTAGCAACAGAAAACAAGAAGTGTAATGCTACTCAAAGCTGACAGAAGCAGGGAGTGACAGGCAGCCAAGCAAAAACATGTGAAGAAAGAAGCATCAATTGAATAGCAAAACACATTTCAACTGTAGGTGCAACAATTAGCTATTGGTAGAATTGACACTTTATAATCTTTATTTATTCACTTAATAATTGTCATCATTCTTTATGGCCTTAAATCATGTAAGGCTTTTAATAAAAGTAGAGATTATGATACAACAGGAGAAAAAGAAAACATTGACCCATATCTTAGAGCTCTAAAATTAGCAGGTACAACTCTCAGGATCCGATCGCAGTTGCACAGAACATGCTTCATCTTTGGATCTTGAACCACTAATTAATTATACGTCAGACACCATGGTGTCAGAGGAGCCCTTGTCTTGTACAGGAAGGGATCTTTTTTTGTTTTTGTTTTTGTTTTTTTTTAAGAATTATTTTATTTGAGGCCAGTGGGTGGCATCGTGGTTAAAGTTGCTGGACTCCCACATAGCCGACTGTGGTTCGAGTCCTAGACCTGGTGGCTTGCTCTTTCTCACACTCTCTCTGTCTCTCTCTGGTCAAATTGAAAAATAATGGTAATAATTTTTTAAATTATTTTTTATTACTATTATTTATTTACTTTTTATTTTGACCAAACAAAGATGAGAAAGAGGGAAAAGGAGAGCGTAAACTGCCAGGTGTGGTACTCACTGCAGCTGGCCATGTGGGAGTCCAGAACCTTAACTACCGTACCACTTGCTGGCCACAGGGAGGAAATTTTTTACTCCTCTGTTGTTACAGCCAAATTTAGGCCACAGGACCAGGCTCAGAAGCAGAAACCAAGAGAACATAACAAAAATCAGGTGCACACCTTCTCTATAAAAAAAAAATTGCTGACCAGCAGATGGCATAATGGATACATATAGCTAGACTCGCATGTTGTCGACCATGGTTCAAGTCATGGACCCGGTGGCTTCAAACTCATGCCAGGCACACATGCATGTGTTTGCATGCCCAGAATCCTGAGAGAAGAATGGAAGTGATGGGATTATGGCATGGCCATCCCTCCGGGGAGGAGAAGTAGGAAGTGATTTCTCACTTTCTATCTCTCCATCTCTCTGACAAGCGCACGCACCCTATAGCAAAAATCTCTCTTAAAAAAAAAAAATGCTGACAATCTAGTGCAAGTTGCCCTCTGCTCTGTCTTGAATGTACTGTAGGAGTATGTCCATCACTGGTTAGTACATTTTACTCAGGGTTGACAGCCTGACTGGTTCTAGATGTTTCCAGCAATAAACACAAGTGTTGCAATATACACTGTACATTCCACACACTTGCACCTTGGTTATTTTAATCATTTATCATTCCTCTTTGGCATCTTTTACAGCATTTATAGAACAGAAAAACAAAAAAACACCAAAATGCTAATCATTTGTGTAGTGTCTCACATGTAAGTGTAACTTTTAAAGAAACATTGTGGTTTACCAAATAATCCAGTGAAAACTTGTTCCTAAGTATGCACAATATTGACAGTTCTTACTGCATTCCCCCATAGAAAGTAGAATTTTGTGAAACATTATATTGATTTAGTGTAACAATTAAATCAAGTTTTTTCTCTGACCAGTTCATTGAAAATATAATTTGTAGGAAATTTAATTCCATTTCCTAATGCATTTGCTCATTTATATCCATATTGTTATAGGATTTATTCAGATTATTTTTTACCAATGGTAACAATATTGAAATAGCATTATGCTATGATTTAGATTAATATTAAATAGATTTGTAGAGCATTTTTTTCTTTTCAACAAAATCAGCTCTTAAATATATATACTGTAAAGACGTGATTAAATGCAAATAAATTTTTTTTCTTTTTTTTTGGGGGGGGAGGTTTTCACTATAGGGCGCGTGCGCTCGCCAGACAGACAGAGAGACAGAAAGTGAGAAATCATCCACCAGGGGGAATGATCACGCCACAATCCCTTTTCCTCCATTCTCCTCTCGGGATCTTGGACACGCACACACACGCACCTGGCCTGAGTTCTAAGCCACCGGGTCTGGGACACAAACCGGCGTCGACTATGTGGGAGTCCAGTGACATAGCCATTACACTAACTGCTGGTTCCCAAATGTAAAGAAATTTTTAAAAAAGAAAAAAAATCAGTTCTTGTTCATATACTAAGATATTATGAGAAAACCACATTCTCATTTATAAATTTCCTTACATAGGGAACCATGAATCCCCCATGAATTCATTCTTTGTACTCACTCTGCCAAGATTCCAGACCAATTTTGCTTAAGTTACTTTGGCTTTTAACTGAGGAGCATTCTTAGTAATTCTCCTTGAGTCAGTGTACGTGTGTCTTTCTGTCTTTGTCACCTAGAATTCTTTGTAAATATTGAGTTTGTTTTAATTCTTTTTTCCAGGCTGCTTGCATCATTTTCCTTTCTCCTGAAACAAAATACTTTCTAAAGAATCGGGACCAGCAGTTAGCGTAATGGCTATGTCACTGTACTCCCATGTAGTCGACCGCGGTTTGCGTCCCGGACCCGGTGTCTTAAAACTCACGCCGGGCGCGTGTGCGTGCATGCCCAAGATCCCGAGAGGAGAACAGAGGAGAAAGAATTGCAGCATGGCCATCCCCCCTGGGGGGTGATTTCTCACTTTCTGTCTCTCTGTCTCTCTGTCTCTGTCTGTCTGGTGAGCACACGCACCCTATATCAAAAAAAAAAGAGAGAGAGGGAGATACAACCTCTTTGGAAAGTAGGTGTTTCAAACAATTGCTCCAGTTTTTAGTCAGTCTACTGTTTTTGTGTCTGGCAAGGTAGATAATAAGTCAGTCTATCGTATATGATGCCTCTTAGCAAGTTGAACTACACCTGCATTAAAATGGATTTCTTCAGCAAATGATATATTAGGTCATCAGGGAAGTTGTGATATTTTTCTATACAAAAATGTCTCATGACTTTTCCGACAATCCAATAGAGGTAGGTAGGGGGTCCAAATTTAAAGTTTCTGCTTTGGCCTTTAATAATGTTATAGGTGTTCTGTGCAGCTACCAGGTGTGCAAAGCCAAATCCAAAACTAATGTCTATCTTGGAAAGACCTATTGCGTCTATCTGGAAGCATAGGTAATGGCCAGTTCTCTGTGGCCATTTTCATTTATTTGAGGAGTGAAGTTGTTCAGTCATATAGTAACTTTATGTAAGAATTTGAGGAACACAGACTGTTTTCCATAGCAGCTGCACCATCTTATATTCCCATCATCAGGGTTCTGATTTCTCCAGATACTTGCCAACACTTGTTATCTGACTTTCTTATTCCATCCACCCTGGTAGCTGTGACAGTCCTATCTCATCATGGTTTTGATTTGCACTTGCCCAGTGACTTAAAAGTATTGAGCATCTTTGTTGTACATATTTTTACATCCCCTTTGGAGAAAGATCTATTGAGATCCTTTGTCCATTTTTACATGGACTATTTAGCTTTTTATTACTGAGTTATAAGAGTTTGTTATTGGCCAGTTCCATAACATAGTGCTTAAGGGAACTGATCCCACAGAGCCAACCACAGTTCAAGTCCGAGCCCTGCTGACTTGAGAAACATGACGGGTGTTTGTGTGTGCTTGCTCAAGCACCAGATGGAATAGAAAGGTAAAGGAGAAGAGATTGCAACATTACCGTTCTCCATTGGGGGCACTTTCTCTCTGGTAAATGCAAGTGCCTCTGGCATTTAAAAAAAAAATAAAGGCCTTGGGCCAGCAAGTTGTGTGGCGGTTAAGGCAACTCAATACCACATGGCCGAGTCCACAGTTTGAGTCCCAGATCCCACTGGGCACATTGTGTGAGTACCCAAAATCCCAGAAGGAGAATGGAGAAGGGGGCATTGCATCCTGGCCATTCTGCATGGAGCCAAGGGTGATTTCTCACTTTCTCCCTCATTCTGTCTCTGTCTCTCCAGTGAGTACACGCAGCCTGTGGCAAAAATATGTGTAATCTAAATGTAAGTGTATGGTCTACAAATATTTTTATCATTCTCTAAGTTGTCTTTTTATTTTTTAAAAAAATTATTATTATTATTTTTAATTTGCTGTAGGGCACATGCACTTACTAGGGAGAGAGAAAGTAAGAGAGCAAGTCAACCAGATCCAGGCCTTGAACTATGGTCAGCCATGTGGGAATCCAGTGCTCCCACCAACACACGACCTGCTGGCTCCAGTCTTTTTATTTTTGACAGTGTTATTTAAGGCACAAAAGTTTATTGTGGTGAAGTTCAAGTTCGGTCTATTTTTTTTTCCTCGTTACTCTTGCTTTTGGTGTATAAAAATCCTTCAACAAACCCAAGTCATAAAAAGTTACCCCTATTGTTCTCATCTAAGAATTTTATAGCTTTTGCTTTGATATTTTGATCTTAATCTATTTTGAGTTAATGTTTGTATATAGTATGAAGTAAGGTCAAACTGCATCCTTTTGCAAATATCTGTAGCTACTTAGTTATTCATTCCTTCCCCCATTGAAT